GGGCGCAAGATGATGAACGCCATCGTATTTTCATTGCCATCGGCGACTTCAACTTCGCTGATCTGGAGCCGCTGTCCCTGGAGAGGCCCCCCGTCGCCCATCGCAGGACCGTCAATCGCGAGCCCGCTACGACGACCCCAAGTTCCCCTATGCGGAATGGCACCTGCGACTGCTCCTCATCTTCCTCCTTCGGACTCGGGGTGGGGTTGTGCGCGACGGGCGGGCTGGAGGGCGCTCTTTCAGCAAGCACTCGCGGAAGTCGCATGCGAGCTACCCACGCACTTCTCCAAGCAGCACCAGACCTGCTCCTTCATTGACCGCGCCCTCGTCTCTCTGAAGTCGCACTCCATTCTGAACGCGGCGATCTCGTTCGAGATGTGGCAGGAGGCCGCGACGCTGGCGGACTGGGGCCTCAGCGACCATGCCATCATCCAGCTGAAGGTCTGGGCTCGCTCACCATCTGAGATCACCGAGCAGTCTATCCCTCCAAACATCTTCAGCTCTCCCCGATACGTGAGCCACGTGAAGTCTCTGCTGGACGTTGCCGACCTGGATTCCCTGGAGGTGGCCTCTCGCTGGACCCTCGTCAAGGAGATTATGACTGAGGCGGCGCGCCTGACCAGGAACGAGATCCAGGCCCTCCCGATCGGCGACTACAGCGAGGACGCGGAGGGCGGCAGGCGGCTCTCCATGCGCGCCATTGCACGAGCCGCCCGGCGTCAAGATGCCCACCTCGCGCGTCGCCTGAGGCAATCGACGGCGCTAGGCGTGAAGCACCTGTCGATCAACACCGACGATGTGGTCTCCCTCATTGCCCCTGAGGACTTTGAGAGGGACTGCCGTTTGCTGCGCGCGGCCTGGCATGAGCGCCAGCGCGCTGCGGCCGCTGCTCGACTTCGAGAGGAGGCACGTCTTAGACCTGGCGCCGAGGGGCCCGACAAGTGGCAGCTGTTGAAGCCCCAACGGGCTGCGCATCGCAGGGCCATGCTCTGGGCGCCCTTCCGTCGACGTCTGGTCCTCGCTGGAGTCCGTTTGGAGAGCAACGGTCGCAGCGCCTCCATCGAGCGCGACCCAGTCTCCGTGTTCGACGCCCTGCGCTCATACTGGAAGCCCCACTTCACGGATCAGCCCGTGGACGCGGACGCGATCGACCGCTTTTTGGACATGCACCCCCCTCCTCCGGAGCGCCCTCTCTGCATGTTCCCTCTGCTGATGCTCTCCGTGCTGCCCTTCGGCGTGCGAGGCCGTCGGCGCCAGGCCCTGGCCGTCTGATGGCCAAGGCCTGGATGACGGACGAGCGGCTCTCCGACGTTCTCCACTCCCTGATGCTGCGCCTCTTCGAGGGCGGAGGTGCCCCCTTGGGCTTCAACTACGCGGGCATGGCATTCATTCCCAAGGGCTCGGAGGTGACCGACTCCTTCGATGTGGCCAGGGCACCTGGCCGCTTCCGCCCGCTGAGCCTGAAGAACGCCGGCGCGAAGGCCGCGGCGTCGGCGACGAACATCCAGCTTGGACAACTGACTGCCCTCCGCGCGCATCCTGCGCAGCAAGGCTTCATTCGGGGCCGTAATTTTCTTGGCCACATTGTCCGCCGGGATGCGATCGCTCGTGCCGCGGGGCACCACCCCGATCTCTCCCCCGCGTTTGCTTCCTTTGACCTCCGTGCGGCTTTCCCCTCCCTTTCCCAGGTGTTTCTACACCGAGTGTTCGAGCGACATCGCATCCCGACGGGGTGTCTGAATGTGATTTCTGCCCTCTACTCTGGGGCTCTCGCCCGCGCCCGTTGTGGCTCCGCCAGGCTCTCGCTCTTCGTGGTCTCCTCAGCGGTCGCCCAAGGATGCCCCCTCTCAGGCGCCATCTGGGCCCTGTGCATGGACTCCTTCCTGCGCCACCTAAAAACCCAAATCGCATGCCCGTCTGCTCGTGGCTTGTGCCCTCGCCCTGACAGCTTGCGCCCTGGGCTCTTTCCCGAATGTGGGGCGACGGCGGACGATGTGGGACTCGCCCTTCCCTCGATCTCTCTCTCCTCCCCGCTCTCGCCCCCCCCGCCCCCCCGACGCCGCCCGCGCTCTTGCGAACCTTTCCCTTCAACCCGAGAAGTGCTGCGTCGTCCCCCTGGCGGAGGCCTGCACGCCAGCCGTGGAGACAAAATTTCAGAGGATGATTGTCGAGCTGGTCCCTCAGTGGTCTGCATTTCATGTGCGTGGTCACACAACTTTTCTGGGCATTCAGTTTGGCCCTGGTGCGTCCCTCGAAAAACAGCGGGCCGCCCCGTCACATAAATGGCGCGCCCGCACCATCGAGACGGCTCTCTCCCGCTCCCCTGCGGAAGCCAGCTGCGTGCTCTATAATGTATGCATCATCCCTGTCTTTAGTTATGTCTGCCAGCTCTTCCCTCTCCCCCCGCCCCTCTTCCGGTGTGAGCGTCACGTCCTCCGCCGTCTCCTCCGTCTTCCCCCCAATTCTTTCGGCCTCAGTGAGCTCCTCAGCATTGGCTCCTGGCTCCCACCTGCAGCCCCACGATCCGCCCGCGTTCTCGCAGCAGCGTCGGCGTGGCGGACGGCCATGATCACTCTTCCCCGTCTTGGGCCTCGGGGATGGGCGGGCCCTGTGGAGACCCTGCGGGCACATGGGCAAGTGCACGGCACGTTCCATGACCTGGCAAAGAAGCGTTTCTCTCCAAAGTGCTGGATTCGCTCGACATCTATAACCGAATTCCTTGAGACGTCCGGCTCGGCGACGGCCCCACCACCGCACGTGGATGCTGCGGCCTGGCGCGCCGCAGCGTCGGCCGCCGACACAGAGCTCACGACGGCGATGCAGGACGCCCGCCGCCCACGCCCCCAGCGCATCCTCTGCCGTCTCCTCTCGTCGTCCCTCTTCCCTGACTTCTTTCCTTCCCTGCTCCGTCGGCGTCTCCCCGCCTGGCTTCCGAGAGGCGATCTCCCAGCCCCCCTCTGAGCTGCAAAAGCGATGGGAGGCCCTCCGCGCGATTCTCTGTCGCATTCCCCCATCCTGGGCGTGGGCCCGCTTGAAGACGCTGGCGGGGGCCTGGGCGACCTCCGCCCGTCTTCCCAGTGCCCCTCCTTGTTCCTGCCTCCTCGGCTGCTCCGACCCAGACGACTTCCCCCACTACCTCGTGTGTCCTCGTCTCTTGCACCTGGTCGCTCTCCCTCGCGGGTTTCTCCCCGTCTCCCCAATCACTCGTCCGGGTCTTGGAGCCGAGCCCGATTTGGAGGCAGAGTATCCCCGCCAGCGCTGCCACTACATTACCGTCCTCAGCTTTCACATCTGTCATACATTGAAAGCTGATCTTTCATTGCGTCGTCGGCCCCCGACGCCGCTTTACCACTACGAAGTCCGAGCCGCTGCACTCGCTGCCATGCGCATCTAGTGCTCAGGTCACCACGAACCGCCCCAGGTTACGTGCGTTCCTCCGCCTCCGCCTCCTCCTACTCCTCTTTCTCCTCCTCGTCCTCCTCCTCCTCCTCCTTTTCCTCCTCCTCGTCCTCCCCGCCCTCCTTGTCCACGTCCTCCTCGCCCTCCTCGTCCTCGTCCTCCTCGTCCGCCTCCTTCTCCTCACCGTCCTCCTCCTCCTTATGCTCCTGCTCCTACTGCTTCTCCTCCTCCTCCTCCTCCTCCTCCTCCTCCTCCTCGCATCCCTCGCCTGACCCTTCCCGCCTGATCTGACGACGAGGACGGCGACGACCGACGATGACGACGGGAAAGGATCAGTTGTTTCAGTCCCAGCGTTTTTCCATCGATCTCAGCTTCCCGGGGACGCTTTCAGCATGAAAAGTTGCCCACGGGGAAGTTGTCAAGACCTTTTGGGCCCGCGGATTGGAAGAAACACTCCGTCGGAAATCTGGGGATGAAGACACATCATGATAAATCGTTCCAGAGTTTTCCAGCATGCTGTGACAGCGTTCTGGCGCGCTCTGGAACGGGCGCGGCACCAATCACGTGCTTCAGAACCGCCAGCGCTCCAAGACTCCTGTCCCAAGTGGAGATGCCACACAGACAGGCATTGCACGTGCAATTGCACATTCGCGGATGCATGCGACATGCGCATTGGAAAGAGGAGGTCAACTAAGGAAAAGAGGCATACGTAGCGAAATTCAGAAGCGTTGGAACGTAGCACGGTGGGGCATACCATTGGCGTGGCTTGCGGGTTTTAGGCTGGGGAAGGCCAAGCGCACACGCGTTCATACGAAAGGTCGTGTATTCTGCCACCATCCCCCCCTGCGTTTTCCTTCGTAGTGAGGCTTCTTGGGCTGGTCATCGTGAGAGTGCTTTGGACGGTCCTAGGGGGGGCATGCTTATGCTTGAAACATGTCGAGCCCTTGTTGGGGCATCCTGGGGCCATCTTCAGGTCATCGCGGAGCACAGTCCGACCGCTTCCGGGGAGAGAGGGTCGAGAGACCGGCCAGGGGATTTCGTACGCCAGCAGCCAGTTGGAGCCTGCATCGCGCCGCGTACCGCTGGCGTCTCGTAAGTTGACGTCGTGCAGCCGTGCTGCGGCGAGCCGTCGGCAAGGCGAGGGCGAGGGGGAGACGTGGGGACCGAACGATTGCGGAGCGGAGGCCACCACGTGGGAAAGTACGAACCTGGATACGCATGACGCGGCCAGCCTGGGTGACAGCTGGATACACATGTGGCCAGATGCATTTTCAACGGTCGGCCCTGAGCCTTCTGAGAACCCTTCCGTGCAAACAGTGCTTGTGAGATTCTCTCGTTAGTGGCAGGTCAGGACGGACCATGGCCGACGGCTCTTTCGCTCGCTACCAGCCGCACTGTAGCTACAACCATTGGAGGGGTGATCAACAAGTTCTGCCTGGGGGATCGTTCTGTCTGCAAGACAGCGGGTCTGCCAACCGCACTGAAGAGAGTGGGAGTCGTGTTGCCTACGGCGGAGCACCAGGCTAGGGTTTCAGGAGGGAGCAGCCCCTTGATTCTTTATCCGACATCTGCCGATCCAGCATCCAGTTCCCCTGGCCCAGGTGGAAACCGAGGTCGAAGACAACGATGACGAGGAGCCGTGCGATACAACGCAGGTGCCGCCGCAGATCGCCACCCTGGGCATTTAAAAGCCACTTGGTCACAATATGCGCTGCTGCTCAGCGAGTGCTCATCGGATGGCCACGTCGGACAAGCGGGTTTGGGGCACGCTGCTTCGCTTGATGAACAAGGGTCTCGTCTATATCGCTAGCAGATGTCCGACATCTTCGGTCCCATCTCGAAGAAAGGCGGATGAAAAGCATTGCTACCTGATTATGCCAGGACGCTGAACTATCCCGTTGCCCAGTGACTAGTGATTGCCATTCACTTTGGGGGCAGACAGGATTTGGTAGTCTTGATTTCGCCAGAGGAAACAACATGGACGTTTTTGATCCTCTCGGAAGGTCTCCCCTCCTGCTGACTATCCCCCATCCCTTGTGCCCTCCGAGCTCTGATTTTAATGATCTCCAGCGAGCAATTGGCAGTTCTGCGTTATGCTGGAGAGGTAAGGTTTGGATAAGTCCGCCAACAATTCATAGGCGGCTGCCTGTTGACGTGTCGGGCTCCAGAGTGTCTCCTCTTCCTGGTGGAGCAAATGAGTAGATGCAAGAGTTCCTCTGCCTGGCCTCTTCCTTCTCGTCCTTCCTAGACCTTGCTCTTAACCTCCTCTTCCTGATGGAGCGAATGAGTGGGGAGTCGGCCTCTGCCCAGGCGCAGACAGACTTGAATGTACGCGACGTGCGTGCAAGACGTCTGCTGCGAAACACCCACCGTTGTGGACATTGGGGCCCAGTTCGTTGAAAAGCAAGTGTGTGCGTGTGTGTATGCAGGCGGCAGATCGGTCCAGGAAGGAGGCCTTGGAGGGGACGTCCCTCCTCTTTCTCCTCAGCATCTCTGGGCTTCTTTCCCTCGCCCGGTATGGTCACTACGTCCTCCAAGGAATGCGTCCTGATAGTGGCGATATTGGAGCCGGGTCACGCCAGGCCGCGAAATCGTGTGGCATCCGCGAGCCGTGCTGACAAAATCCCTCGTCAACAACAGCCCCCGTGCGATCCGCCAGTGAAGTGAATCTCTGAGCACATGGCATCACTGGGGCGAGTTTCGTGCTAAGTAGTCAAAAGAACGCTCGGCCATCGCGCGTTTTCCTTTCGCTCGGGCAGATGGCAGCTACCCTCAGCGGCTTCAGCCGTCAACTCAGGCTGGCCTTGTCCCAGAGCCCGAAAGCGCGGGGCTTTGAGGAATCACTATGGTGGATGTTTGGGCCCTCCTCCGTCAAAAAAACTGGGACTTGGTCCTCTCCTGGGGCGCGTCCTACCAAGAATTTCGAGGGGGATCCAGCCGTGGCGACGAAGGCGCTAGGGCGAAGAACCTCCAATAAACTCGAGCCTTTGTCCTCGAGCCTCTTCGGAGGAGGAGATGTCCGCGTTCTTCCGCGGGGCGTCTCGATGCCTCGAGCCCCTCGCGAGGGCCCGCCTGAGGCGTTGTGTGGCCCCTGGTGCCCCAGGGCCCCTGCTCTTTTCGAGCAGCGCCCTCCTAGCACCCCCCCCCCGAGTGTCGAAAACCTGCATTCTAGATTGTTGAGCCTTCACTTTGAGGAAAACGGCCTCCAGAACGAAGCGGACACTCCACATTCTGGATGTCGTGCCTTCGTTCTGACTGTTTTGGGTTTTCGTGTTCTGTATTCCGGCCAGTGCCGATCCGGGAAACCCGCGCGGACCTCCGGAAGTGTATGTTTATAGGTTCCCCTACGATATGCTCAGAGGCTGCCCGTTGGGATTTTCCTCCAGGCCTCCCCTTTGGCCTCTGACGTTGCGCCGAGCATCGACAGCCTTCGATGGGATGGTTCGACTGCCCTCCACCCCAGAGGTTGTTTTTTCCCCCAGACAGCGCATGCCCTTAGGGTTCTTTCTTGGGTTTCTTACGCAACTGGACTGGTTCCCCGTCATTTTCGCCACGCTGCCGCCCGTGTCGCCTCGTGGGCGCCGTGCGCTGTGTGGGTTCGCCGCGGCTGCGCCACGCTGCCGCCTCGTGGGCGCCTCGCGGGCGCCTCGTGGGTGCCCCGTGCGCTGGGTGGGATCCCCGAGGTTGCGCCACGCGGCCGCCTCGTGGGAGCCTCGCGGGCGCCCCCTCCGCTGGGCGGGTTCCCTGTTGCGCCACGCGGCCGCCTCGTGGGCGCCACGTGGGCGCCCCGTGCTCTGAGCTCACATCACATAGCTAACACCCCATAACTTACACCACATAGCTTGCACCCCATGGCTTACACCGCATAGCTTGCATCCCATTGATTCTCCGTTCTATACAGGAAATCTGTTCTACCACCCTCCCCACCGGGGTTACAGACTCCCCGGGAACCTACGCAATACGCATAGGATGCTGACCCAATGTCCATCTTACTTGTGAATTCACTATCCCAGCCAGGCCGGTATCGGTTCCCCCCGCCATTCTCTGCAAAAAAGACTATGCGCGCACACTCGTCTATCAAAACTCATAAGTTGTTTCAAAATCCCTTGCATAAAAAATGGACGACGTGCACACTCGCGCGTCGTCGCGCGCGCATGCCGTTTTGTTACAACGCTTCGGCTTCGGAAGGATTTCAAAATCGAGTGTCCGAAAAACATGTAAAAAACAGGGTTCTGCAACACAGATGTTCAAAAAAACATGCGCGCGCTCTTGCGAATTCTTACGAAAGCCATGGGTTTTTCATGTTTGAATGCTGCCAAGCGGGCTTCGCGCGCGCGCATGTCGAAGTCGTTCGAACGCCCTTGCGCGCGCGTGCCGTCGCGAGAATCCTCTGCAAAAAACTGGACGAAGTGCACGCGCGCGCGTCGTCGCGCGAGCATGCCGAAATCCTTCAAAACCTTCGGTTTCGAAAGGATGTCAAAATCGAGTGTCAAAAAGACATAAAAAAACAGGTTTCGCAACACAAGTTTCCCCTCCCAAGAAACCGTGCGCGCGCACTCCTGGGAATTTTTCAGAAACCATGAGATTTCCAACATTTTCATCACATGCTACCAAACGGGCTTCGCGCGCGCATGTCGAAATCGTTCGAACGCCCTTGCGCGCGTGCTGGGGTGGCACGATCCGTGTCAAATAGTAACATGCGGGCCACTCTCGCGCGTCTGCCGCGCGCGAATTTCGAATTCCTTTCAAACCCTTCATCGCCGACGCGAAGACGCCGTCATCGTCGTCGGCGTGATCGGCACCGGCGCCGTCACTGGCTGTGCCGTCGTCGTTGTCAGCATCGTCACCAACATCGCTACTATCATCATCGTGTCTACAAGTGTCGACGTTGCCATGATACCGCACCCGCCCAAGTCGCAGACTCGTACTCAAGTGCCCGCCTGGATGTGCCGAGCGGTCAGCACCACCGCGGCCGCGTCGGTCGCGCCAAACTACCTGGCCGCTGCGCGCGCGCATGCGCGGGCTGGCGCGGCCGCAGAGATGCACCAGCCAGCGCCAAGCACTCACCGCAATCGCCGCCGCATGAGGTTTGCAAACCGAATCGCGGGCGGGTGGGTGGGATGTTTGCGCCAGCAGTGGAATGGACAACTCACTGCGAACAGAAATTACTTGCACCCCATAGCTTTCACTGCCAGTTCACGCCGCATAGCTTACGCGACATAGCTAGCACCACATAATTTGCACCGCGTAGTTCTCACCTCCATAGCTGACACCACTTAACCTACTCTACATAGCTGTTGGACCATGGGGGATGCACATACACACACACACACAACGTCTTTGTCCCTTTCTCCCGCATGTCCCCTCTTTCCCCCCACGAAGCTGGTGACTTTTGTGACATGGATCAGAGTGTCAAGCAGCCGACGCACAAAAAAAACATGATTGACCCCCTGACCGAGAAGGGAAAATGCACATTTGACGCACGGAAGCGTTGTCAACACACTTGACCGGGCGACGGGCAATTGCAATGCTGAAGGATTCGATGGTGGCATTCCGTGCCAGGGGCCGTGCCGTGCTGAATTGGGATGTGTCATGCCAAGTTAAACTGAGTTGTGTTCTAGTGCCTTGTGGACAAAGTCGCCCTTGGAATCCGAATACTGACCAAACTGATCTGGATCTTGAGCTGGAGCTGCCTGAACGCATAGCTCACCCAGAGCTGGTTGCAATGGAAACGTGTGGGGCGCTCGACTAGCTCGAGCTAAAGATCTGATCCAGTTCCCAAGCGGGACGAACCAAGAGGGAGCGAATCCGAACCGAGACGAAACGCACCGACAATGGACGGACCAGAACGCGGCGAACCGAGACGCGACGAATTGAGACAGGACGAACCGAAACAATACGAACTGAGACGAGTGCCGAAGCGACGAATCAGATCGAGGCAAAGCGAACCGAGAATGGGACGAAGCGAGTACGTTGCGGCTCGCCCTCCTGAAACCACATGGCGTCTCTTGCCGAAGGAGCCGCACTCCGAGGGCCAAAATCCTTCATAGATTACGAGGGATGTGCGTCCCCAGGGCCGTGTTCCTGGCGCAATTTGCGATTGATCCGTGCTGAACTGTGTTGAGTCATGCCGTGTTGAACTGGGTTGTGTTCCATTGCGTTGTGGGTCAAGTTGTTCGTCGCATCCGAATCCTGACCGCACTGATCTGGATGTTAGGCTCGAGCTGCCTGAACGCATAGCGCGCCCAGAGCTGGTTGCAATCGATCGGTGTGGGGTGCTCATCCAGCTTAAGCTCAAGACCCGATGAAATTACGAAGCGGGAGCAACCAACACGGGGCGAACCCGAACCGAGGCGAAGCATACCAACAATGGGCGGATTGAAACGCGGCGAATGGAGGCGCGACGAACCGAACCAGGTCGAGCCGAAACAATACGAGTCGAGGCGATGGCCGAACCGTTTAAGAATTCGTGGTTTCAACCCGCGGGCTAAAATATCCCATGTTAAAAACATGTGGTTTCAGTTCGCGGCCGAACGGAACCCATGTGAAACCACATGGTTCCAGTTTACGGGCGAGAGAAGTTCATGCACAAACACATGGTTGCAGCTATTGGGCGAACAGAACCCATGTGAAAGCACTGGAGGTTCCCGCCCTACGGAGTTGAGTGGATGGAACAAACGCCTAGAAGAAAACCCTGGGCCCGCGCCCTCTCCGGAAACAACTTGCACGGTATGTTTCCACCACGTAGTTTGCACCGCATAGGCTCCACCTCCACCGTGCAACAACGCATCGTGTGGGGTCCACGCTGGCTGACATGCTTTTTCCATGTTGGAGGCTCGACCTTCAGAATGGAGGGCTTGGATCGTGAGGACCCACCCGCCTCTCCGAGCTCTCAGCACTTCGAGCCTCGTACAGAGAGGAAGGACTTACCTGCCGGGTGTGTTCGTGTGACGGTAGCGAGGTGCCGCAGTGACGGCCGTGGCGACGAGGGCTTCCCAGAGGTCCAGGCAGGGCGGAGACCGTCCAGAAGCTTTGCGTCCTCGATGCCCGAGCTTTGAGCCCATGTGATCATGAGACGTGCCACACGTGACGCTTGGGGCAAGCCAGATCAGGTGTTCTGTCAGACATTCTGAGATGTCGTGGGCGCTTGGGCGCAGTCGCAGTCGAGCTTGAGTCGCTTCCCGCCCGTGCGCGCGGCGGCGGCGGCGCCAGGTGCCGCAGCTGTGCGAGGTCCCGGAGGAGGATTGCGGCGCGCCAGAGGGGGCGCAGGCGGGCCCTTGGGGGGGCGGGGCTCGCCCCGAAGGTTGTCGACGGCGATGACGGCGACGGCGACAACGACGACGGCGGCGACGACGGAAGCGGCAGCGGCGGCGACGGCGGCGGCGAGAAAGACGACGACGGCGACGCCGACAACGACAACGACTGCGACGACGGCGGCGACGGCGACAACGGCGGCGTCGAACGACGGCGACGGTGGCGACGACCGTGGCGCCGACGACTACGGCGACGCCCTGGCGGCGCTGATGCGACGTCGGGTGGAGGGGGGGGCGCCCCGCGCGTGGTGCTTCCTCCTTGGACGGCTCCACCGCGGGCGGGGCCATCGAGGCCTGAGGAAGACCCCAGACCTCTGGCGGGTTGATTCCCAGCCCTCCTGTGGTGTTGGGTCCTCGTTTTGAAGAGACAGCGCCCCGCGTTCCTCCTTCATCCTTCCTCCTCCTCCTCCTCCCCCCTCCTCCCGTCACCCCCCTCACGTTGTCACACCCCTCACACGCTTCGTGGCCCATGGGGGGCTCCACCGAAGGCCCCATTGCCACTGCCCGCATGCGTCCCCCCCCCCCCACCCAGTACAGCGTTTCGTGGCCCCATGGGGAGCTCCACCGAAGATCCCAGCGCTACCGCCCGCATGCGTCCCCCCACCCAGTACATCGATCGCTTCGTTGCCCCATAGGGAGCTCCACCGAAGGTCCAAGTGCTACCGCCCGCATGCGCCCCCCCCACCCAGTACAGCGTTGCGTGGCCCCATGGGGAGCTCCACCGACGGCCCCAGTGCTACCGCCCGCATGCGTCCCCCCACCCCCGCTCAGTACAGCGTTTCGTGGCCCCATCGGTCGCTGGGGGTCTGGTGACAAGATCCGGCTACGCGCCTTGGGAGGTCCCAGACGAGCTGGGGGACCTTATCGGCAAAGGTGCCCGAGGGGCCCGGAAACCCTGGATCCTGGGGGTACGGTTTTTTTTGGGGGATGTCCCCCCTCCCTGGCTTGTAAAAGTATAGGAAGAGGAATCGGTGTGTGTATGTATTTTGCACTACATTAATCGCGCCGCATAGATTGCACCACGTTGATCGCACAGCATAGAATGCACCACGTAGATCGCACTGCATATGCTGCACCACATCGGTCGCACCACCTCCGTTCTCTTGTCTTCTACCCCGGGGCACCTTTTCGTATGGCAATTTCTAAGCGATTATACCCCATCCTCTATCCGAAATATGAATTCATGCCGTCCCAGCCAGGCCGGAGCTCCTCCCCCCTCCCCCTCATCATTTGCAGGCGATATTTTGCGCGCGCACTCGTTTTCATCAAAAACCATCAGTGTTCAACAGGCCCTTGCAACAAAAGGAACGAAGTGCACGCGCGCGCGTCGTCGCGCGCACGTGCCTCGTGCCGAAATCTGTCAACACAAATCTAGATGTCGTAAGGATTTCAAAACCGAGAGTCACGAAAACCAAAAAAGATCATGGTTTCGCAACAAGGGTTTTCAACCAAAAACCTGCGCCCGCGCCCTTGCGAATTCTTCAGACACCCATCGGTTTTTCAACCTAGTCATCACATGCTACCAAACGGGCCTCTCGCGCGCGCGTGTCGAAATCGCTCGAACTCCCTTGCGCGCGTTTTGTCGCGAGAATCCCTTGCACAAAAATGCGCGAAGTGCACACGCGCGCGTCGTCGCGCGAGCATGCCGAAAAACCTTCAAAAACTCAGGCTTCGCAAGGATTTCAAAAACGAGTTTCCAAAAGCACAGATAAATCGTTTTGCAACAGCAGCTTTCAACAAGCCTGCGTTCGCGGTGTTGCGGATTTTTAAAACCTCCATGGGCGTTTCAACATTTTCATCAAATTCTGCCCAACGGGCTTCTCGCGCCGCATGTCGAATTCACTCGAACGCCCTTGCGTGCGTGCTGGGGGGAGGGGGGCGCGACCCGCTTCAAATAATACCACGCGGGCCACTCGCGCGCGTCGGCCGCGCGCGCATATCGAATTCCTCCGAACACTTTCATCGCCGACGCGAGGACCTCGTCATCATTACCGGCCGGCGTGGTCAACATCGGCACCGTCATTGGCCTTGCCGTCGTTATCGTTACCATCGTCGCCGTCATCGCTGCCTCCATAATCGTGTCAACCGTTCGTTGTCGGCGTCGCTATGATACAGCACCCACCTTCTCCACCGACTCGCACTGAAGTGGCCGTTGGGAAGTGCCCAGCGGTCAGCGCCATCGCGGCCGCGTCGGTCGCGCCAAACTAGCTGGCCGTTGTGCGCACGAGCATGCGGTGGCTAGCGCGGCCGCAGAGATGCACCAGCCAACGCCAAGCACTCATCGCAATCGCCGCCGCAGAGGTTTTGCAAACCAAGTTGCGGGTGGGTGGGTGGGATGTTGCCAGAGCATGGAGCTTGTCAACTCATGTAAACATCAGCTGCACCACATAAATTGCACCACGTGGGTTGTACAACATGAATCACACAACAGATTTCGCACAATTGGTATGCATACATATATATATATATACATTTTGCATTGATTGCACCGTTTGTGCAGCATTGATCGCACAGCATATATCGCACCACAGATGTTGCACCACATGGCTTGCACCACATGTGTCGCACACAACATATGTTGCACCACCTACTTCGCACCGCATAGATTCTCTTTTCCAAAAACAGAATAGGATCTACCCCCCCCGGCGTTGTCAATCCCCTTTTCGGGTATGTAAATCATATATGGTTCTGACCACATGTCCATCCTAAAGATGAATTTACACTATCCCCGGGGGGCCGGTATCCCCCCCTGAGGCCCCCCTTGTAAAAAAACACTATGCGGTGACATTTTTTGTTCTAGCATAGCACTTTTTCGCGAATCCCTTGCAACAAATGGGACGAAGTGCACACGCGCGCGTCGTCGCGCGCGCATGCCGGAATCCTTCAAAAACCTTCGGTGCCGGAAGATTTCGCAATCGAGTTTCCAAAAAATCATACAAAAACATAGGGTTTCGCAGCATTGCTTTGCTAAACAAACTTCCGCGCGAGCTCGTGCGAAATCTTAAGAAAACCATAGGTTTGTCAAGATTTTCACAAAATTCTATTAAACGGGCTTCGCGCGCGCATGTCGAAATCTGTCGAACGCCCTTGCGCGTGTGATGTCGCGAGAATCCTCTGCAAAAACTGGGACGAAGTGCAGACGCGCGCGTCGTCGCGCGCGTATGCCGAAAACCTTCAAAACCCATCGGTTTTGGAAGGATTTCAAAATCGTGTGTCAACAAGACATTAAAAAAACAGGTTTCGCAACACAAGTTCCCCCTCCCCCAAAAACGTGCGCGCGCACTCTTGCGAATTTTTCAGAAACCATGAGATTTCCAACATTTTCATAACATGCTACCAAACGGGCTTCGCGCGCGCATGCGGATTTTCAACAAAAGCGTGCGCGCGCGCTCTTGCGTCGTCGTCGTCGTCGTCCTCCCTCCTCCCGCGTTGTCGTCGTCGTCGTCGCCCACGTCGTCCTCTGTCTTTCCCTGTGTTCGTCGTCGTCGTCCTCTTTGGCGTCGCGGTCGTTTTCGTCGTCGTTGTCGGTCGTGGTCGTCCTTTTTCCTCCTCCCTCGTCGTCGTCGTCGTCCGTCGTCGGCGTCTCGTCGTCGTCCCTCCTCTTTCGTCGCCGTGGTCGTCGTCGTCGTTGTCGTCGTCGTCGTCTTCCCTCCTCCCTCGTCGTTGTCGTCGTCGGCGTCGCCGTCCTTCCTCCTTCTTCGTCGCTCGCGTCGTCGCCGTCCTCCCTCCTACCTCGTCGTTGTCGTCGTCCTCCCTCCTCCCTCGTCGTCGTCTTCGTTGGCGACGTCGTCGTCGTCGTCGTCGACTTCGGCGGCATCGTCGTCGTCTTCGGCGTCGTTGACGTCGTCGTCGTCGTCGGTGTCGTCGTTGTCGTCGTCGTCAGCGTCGTCAGCGTCGTCATCGTCGTCGTCGTCATCGTCGTCGTCGTCGGCGTCGCCGTCGTCGTCGGTGTCGTCGTTGTCGTCGTTGTCGGCGTCGTCGAAATCGTTGGAGACGTCGTCGGTGTCATCGTAGTCGTTGTCGGCGGCGTCGTCGTCGTCGTTGTCGCTGTCGTCGTCGGCGTCGCTATCGTTGCCAAGTGCCATTTGGTACCCACCGTCACGGTCTTAAGAGATTTTGCAAACCAAGTTGCGGGTGGGTGGGTGGGATGTTTGCGCGAGCAGTGGAGTGGACAATTCATTGCGAACAGAAATTAAAATGCACCCCATAGATTGCAACGTCTATGTTGCACCACGTATATTTCGCCACGTAGCTATACGCACCCTGCATGGCTAGAAACACATTGTTTAGGGGTCCACCCTTGGTAACGCATTTATATGTGTATGGGTCTGTGAATATGTATATTCAACGTGTCACTGATTTTCTTTCTCGTTTTCTCTCTCTCTCTCTAATTGTCATGCCCCTTCGCGCCCATAAGCCGAGGTGCAGGACGACGACGAGGACGCCGAAGCCCTCGCCTTCGCCAGCAGGAGGGCCAGGGACTTCGGGTCTGGTGCGCCATCGGGGTCGCCGCAGCCGTTGGCTCTGCAGCTGAGTTTGCCTTGCCGCGTACTTCGTTCCCTTTGCCCCCGACCCACCTGCAAGCCACGCACACATGTACCTCCTCTCGACCCGCCGCCTCCCTAATCCGTCACCGTTCCTCCCCTCTTTGCACGACTCTTTTCCCCTGTGCCTTTTCGGTCACCTTTCCCGCAGTGCGTTTTTGTTGTTTTTTTGTTTTTTGTTTTTTTTGTTTCTCTCTCTCTCTCTCTTTTCTCTCTCTCTCTCTCACTCTCTCTCACTCTCTCTCTCTCTCTCTCTCTTTCTGTTTCTCCTTGTCTGTGCTGGCTGTTTTCTCTATTCGTTTCCCGAACCAGCTTGCTGAACGGGGTGCTGTTGTGGTAGAGGCTAACCCCGGCCGAGGGAAGGGGGAGCAGAGACATCCTCAAAAAGATCTGGTGGTCTGGGCTGTTTCGTTTCAGATATCCTCACAACTCTCGTTTCTGAGTTGTCCGGGATCGGCCGTTTCTTTCGAGACATCCTCGAAAATCTGGGTTCGGGGACGCCTCGCGAGAGGTGGTCTGGCCCGTTTCGCTTGAGACATCCTCGAAATTCTAAGCCCCGAGATGCCGTACGAAAGGTGGTCCGGGCCGTTTCGCCTGAGACATCCTCGAACATCTGGGCTCAGGGACGTTGCGCGCGAAGTGGTCCGGGCCGTTTCGATTGAGACATCCTCGAATCTCTAAGCCCCGAGATGCCGTGCGAGATGTGGTCCGTCCGTTTCGATGAACATTTCCTCGAACATCTGGGCTCCAGGACGCCGCGCGCGAGATGGTCTGGGCCGTTTCGCTTGAGATATCCTCGAAATTCTAAGCCCCGAGATACCGCGCGCGAGGTGGTCCGGGCCGTTTCGATTGAGACATCCTCGCAACTCTGGCTCCCGAACTGCCGCGCGCGACGTGGTCAGGCCCGTTTCGCCAGAGACATCCTCGCAACTCGGGGTTCCGAGATGCCGTGCGCGAGGTGGTCCAGCCCGTTTCGCCTTAGACATCCTCGCAACTCTGCGTTCCGAGCTGCCGCGCAAGAGGTGGTCGGGCTCCTTTCGCTTGAGACATCTTCGCACCACTCAACTCCGAGATGCTGCGCGAGAGGTGGTCCAGCTCGGTTCGCCTGAGACACCCTTGCACCTCTGAGCTTTGAGAGAATATGCGCACGGGTGTGTGGCCCGTTTTGCTTGACATATCCGTGCAGTTCGGGACTCCGAGATGCTGCGGACGAGGTGGTTTTGCCCGTTTCGCCTGAGACATCCCCGAAATGCGTAACGCTTCGCGTAACCCCACCAGCGTGCCCCCGCATCAACGGGGGTGATCGTCCTCTGACGCGGCTCCTCCCTGGTACTCTCTTCTGCCACGCCGGCGATGTTCATCCCCGCCAGCCTGGCCACTGTCACACTCAGTGCGGCGCCTCACCACGCTTTGACAGGCGGGTGACTGGGGCCAGGCCCACAGGGTTCGCCACAGGGCCGGCCTCCTCACGTGCTCGGGATGGTGGGCCCCGGGAGCCCCGCGGTCGCTTCGGAGTGGTTCAGCCTTCCGTCTCACGCTGCGCTTCCCCTTGGATCCGCCCCAGCCATTCAGGCAGGTCTACGACGTCACCTCGGTTGCTTAGCCCACCTGGCTGGTATACGCCGTTGGCACGGACCTGGACTTGGCGCCCCGCTGGCGACTCGTTCATCATCGTTCACCTCGCCTTCGCGACCACCAGGCGTGAGAGGGGTGTGGGCATCAGCTCGCTCACGTTTTCGCTTTCACAGAGTGGTCCACGCCGCAGGGCGTACATCGACTTACCTGGCATTTTGCTCAGGGTTGCACGATGCCTGAGCTTCCCTGGGTGCCCTCAGCCAGTCAGCCCTCACCGTGCGGCTCAGCACCTGCCTTGTGAGCTGGCCCGGTTGGCTCGTTTCGCGCCTAGGAGCTAATTCGGTCTGTTTCCGTGCCCCCGACAGCTTCTGTCTCCGCCTGCGCTTTCGCTAGCGGACGCGACCGAAAAAGTAACCCCACCAGGAGTCCAGAGCCCCTTGGCTCAAGCCACCCTCTGGCTCAAGCCGTCTGCGGGCAACCCCCGCTCTCGAGGGGGCGCCCGACGCGCCGCCTGGGCCGCCGCGGCCCCCCCGTGCCCGCCCGTGCCAGGTCACGTGCGATAGCGGGCTGCTGCCAGGCCTCGGCGCGCCTCCTGTCCATCTCGCCGCCCTAGAGCCACCGGGATGGAAAAGAACTCAGACGGCGATCGAGACGAAATCCATGGAAGTGTCACCAGGACGGATTGTGACGGACTAGTTCAGGACCTGGGGGTTCTTCACTGTCCGATGAGCAACCAAACGATGGTCGCCAGGACGAAGTCGGCCAGCGGGTACAAACATCGATCTACACATCGGACAGGATCCAAGATCGGCACGATGAGGGTCAACCAGTATCCGTTGGATCAGATCCCGTCGCTGGAGACGACGGCACACAGGGAAATCCTGCCTCCGGCAAACACCGGGCTAGCGGGAGCTGCGACCAGATCGGTGAGGGCACGCCGATCGAGGATCATCTTGATCCCCTCAGACCGCGCCTTGCCGCTGGAGACGATGGCTCACCGAAAGAGATTGCCTCCCATCCCTCTCCCGCTCATCCCAAGGCTGCGACGGTTAGTCGCCTCCCTTCTCCTGATAGTATGCCAACTGCGCTTGTCCCCTTATCTTCCAGTGAAGCAGCGGTTACCTGCGCCCCCTGTCTCTCCCCCCCTGCCGCCTCGACTGCTGTCATCCTGAAAGCGACGGTTAGTCGCCTCACCGATGAGGACTGCGGGCAGTTAAGTCAGCAACCCCTTCAGCAACTCCACACCGATACGGCATGCGACCGCCCCGTGGGGGACCATGCGCTCCCCGATGCCTCTTTGACCCCTCCCCCCGAGAGACAGCCAGCCCACGAGCAACCTACGCGGCAGACGCCTGACAACCAGCCCTCTCCTCGAACTCCCGTTGGCTGCCCCTCTCCTACCCCCTCCCCGACTCTGACTCCCAATGAAGTTCGGCACTTCACACGGGGCGACAACTGCGCGCGACGGCCGGGCACGCCTGACACCGACGCCCACGCTGACACCCAACCATCACCTTATTGCACCCCCGCTGCCACCACTGACCCGGGCGCTGCCCTCCTCGGGGCGCAGCAAGCCCTCAACTCTCTACAAAGCCTTCCATTCCCAGCCCCAACTGAGCAGGAGGTCGCCACTGATACGCCAGCTGATCTGGAGCACGACTCGGATTTGGAAATGGGAAACGATGGAGCACCAACCGCGCCGCCACCACTATCTACCCCCCAGGCACGTCGCCCTACCTCTGCCCCCCCCCCCCCCTCCCACGCAGACATAATGCTGATGGAAGCAGCCGTGCCGGACACTCACGCCCTGCCTCCGACCCAGGAAGAAGCCGCGACAGCTCCTCTCCCTCCCCTGCCCCCCCTCTTCCACCGCACCGACCCACTCCATCATCGCGCCAGATTTGAAGCAGCCCGCGACTGCCAACATAACCTTCCACCAGTACGTCAGCCACTGCAATACTGGCACAACCGCCCGAGAGTTGGCCCCCGCAGCGCAACCCCACTTGGACTCGATCGTCAGGATCTCTCCCAAGCGAGCAGACGATGTCCCTGCATCGAAGACCTGATGCAAGGCACGCCCGCCCCACGAGGGGGCCGGCCCCAGCGCGCCGGCCAAATGCCGAGGTCTTTCGAAGCCACGATGCGACTGCAACTACTGGCGCACTTCGCCTGGAAGAGAGACGCTCCATCCTGGCGCAAGCTGGCACATCAGAGCTTCTCACAGCCTGCGACACCGAGTGCGACCACTGCCCAAACATCCTCATATGCACGGACCTCACTCACCTCGCCTGGACGCTAAACGAGGAAGACTCTGAAGGAAGTATTGGGGGCGTCAGAGCACACCCGGCACAGTTACTCGCCATGCGTCTTGCCACTGCGCGCCGCATCGGCAACAGCGATCAATGCCCGCGCCTTGACAAAGACGAAATTACTGACCTTGAGAAATGTGTCGCCCACGGAGAATGCGCCAACATGTGCCGCTCATCAAAATACTGCGGCATCGTCAGCAATGCTGCTGTTAATCAAGACCGAGGGGGCGATCGAGTTGACCACTCCCTTCAAACGACCGCCCTCGGCCACCCGCTTAAGCCGCGCCCCCAGCAGAGCAGCGAAGAGGCGCCGCCGCCGGGCAAAGTGCTGCAGCTACTGATCCATGAAATGAGACAGGCTATCATCCACTTCCCTCCGCAACGAACTCCGCGCCTGGGCTCGCCATCACCGCCCCCGCGGTGGCCCCGCCAACGGAGTGTTATCCAGCGCCTTCGACCGCGCCATCACAACCGACACTCTGAGAGCCAGCAACCGAGATGGCTTGTCGATGATTGCGCAGTTCCAGCACCGGCCGTCACCCCTTCGTTACACGACTCCGATTACAGGCAGATCTGGCCCTGGGGCGACATTGCAACCTTTCCATAGCTCGGCAGACGTTGCACACCACGCGAACGATGCCTTTTTCTGTGGTTCTTGGTGCCTAAGGGCGCCAGGCCTTGTTGTAGGATCATGCCCGCTGTGCATGAGATTCTCAACCCCCTGGCTGTCAGACGAACTCGACGGCGAGAGCCCGCCTTTCCTACCAATTCATTCACTTTCCAACGAGATCCTCCTTCCTCTCGCCCACGCAGCTCAACGGCTTGCTCCCTTCACCTGCCACCTTTCCGGGGCCTACGACGCGCCGCAGACTACTCCCCAACATGGTTAGTCTGCGAATTGCTGGGAGCATGGGCGGACCTCATCAGTGGCGCTGGATCAGCTCCTGCCAACCGCGCTTCGACTGAGAGCCACTTCCGCTTCGCCGCTGACAGACTCGCGATTCTCCGCGCAGCAAGCACTGACTGGGCCACCAACGTCTGCGGCGAGATGCACAACCAAATCTCGCAAGCAAACTGCACGGACAGCTCGCCGGTTGGCTCCCCACAACACTCACGTCGCTTCACGCACAGGCCGCACTCGCCCCAACCATAGGCGGGAGCGCAGGAACGCGCAGCCAGCCTGCTCAACAAAGCTCCTCTGCCTACCGTCACTCGACCCAGCATGGACTGCAAAGAGCTGAGATCGCATGGCTTCAACGACGCATCGGGATGTTTGTCACGGGCCAGGTTGAGTCCAACGATCAGCTTTATGTCCAACGACTGCGCGACGATCGCGGCATGACCACCACCGAACGGGCATGGGCCACTCAGGCACTGGTTGGATACGCCACTCTAGCGCTCGGTGAGCATCAAGACCTTGCGCTCTTATTCAAAGACTATAACCCATCGGGAGATATATTGAGCGCGCCATCGTTCGGCACAAGAGGAGTATGACCACACCAACTGCACAGGGTAACACACATGTCGACACCGTCATGGGAATCACACAGGCAGCTCAAAGCGAAGCTCCACCGATGCAGGCAATCACCGTCATGCTCATGGGGCGCGAGGAAAGGAAGCGCCTCCAGGATTTCGAATCCGAAATACAGGAAGTACGCGAGCGCATTGCCTCATCCACCCTCCCCAGCATGTACACGTGGGATATTGTTCTTGTCACCTTCATCTGGGATGCTGCGACTGAATCTGGACGCGCGCGCTTACTCGATTTGTTTGGACGCCGCCAAGTCGACACCAGAGCAATCAACACAGCGTAAGCCTACTGGAGAGAGGCGTCGGTTGACTCTATCGAGCTTGCTTGCGCCAAGATGGAGGGAATAGTCATGGGACGCCGAGCCGAAACAGCACGGCCCACCCCCGCGCCGCGGCCAGGCGGGTACATTGACCGCGCGCTACAAAAGTTGATGGTGCAAAAGCTTGACGCTCAAGGAAATCTGCAGTACTCAGTCTTCAACGGAGACTCAGACAGATGCCCCGAGGCCATTCAGGGTGCGACCAGGATGGCAAGACTCAGCGACAGACAACCGTGGGAGGAGCAGATGTCAACGGGACAAGAAGGTGCAACGCAGGAGGACATTGGCAGGATGAACCAGTGGCGAGTCCCTGACCTAGCCGTCAAAGTCTCAGTTCTGCGAGAACGCCTGCACATTGCCGAAAGACTTGACGAACACGGTGGATGGCGACAGGTACAGCCGCCGCTTGATACCAGCTCAATCGACACAACCAAGGCGACTCGACTTCGGGAATGGCTACGAGACGCCACTACCAAAGCTGACTGTGTTGACAGGTGGCTTTCTGGGGCAATATGGCTATGCCCTATTCCCACTGCACCCTGCTAATGGCACGAATGATCAACGCTGCCCCATCTGCTGTCATATCTAAATGGCTCATCCTTTGTGACGTCCGCACGCCTCTGCAATTACAGCGACTCCTGGAGCTTGTCACTGGGGCGCGGGCCGAGGAATTCCAGGCTTGCGACCCCTTCACCTCGACTAGCTTAGCTCCCTCTTCCACTGCGTAAGCTACGTGGCTGCCACAAGCGGCGAACCCGCCACCAGAGACGCCTTCGTGCTCAGGGAGGCACGCGCTGAATGTATACTACTGGCGACCGAGCCAGCGCACCCCGCGCGCAGTCCTACATCTCCGCAGAATGAAACTGGAGACACACTTGAGTGCGCTATCTGCTGGTCAGCCCTCGACGCCACCACGACTGCGATCATTCCATGTTGTCACCAATTCCACGCTGCCTGCCTGTCTGCATGGAGACTACAACAACCAGGCGTCTTCAGTCTCGCTGGCTGACCCTGGGAGGGGACAAATCACTCATCTGAGGTGCCCACGCTGCAGAGAACCCGACCTCGGGGACGTCGCCGTTCAAGCACCGGGACCTCAAGGTACGCCACAGGGAACTGCACAGCGTGATGGCGGCGCCCCAGAGATCCCCGTTCTCCAGGGGCGAGCCACCGCCGAAGAACTTGCGCAGGCCATCAACGACCTCGGACCAGGGTGCCTGCAGATACTTCGACAAGGTCAACGGAACGGTGCCAACTTGTCACAGTCAGCCTCCCACAACAGCCTGGACGAAGACATCCAAGCCATCGGCGAAAGGATATATATATATATACATATCAACCGCAACACAGACGCACAAGACAGGACGACACAAGACCAACCGTCGATGCGGAAAAGATTGCGAGGAACACCCATTGTCACACAGAAACGATGGGCGGCGCTAGTCGCCAGACACCCGCCCGACTTTAACGGCGCTCAGCGGGGACCGATGTTCCCGGCTGGACTTGTTAGGGAAGCTGTGAGGGAGTCCCTGGCAGACATGGTAGTCGCTCCGGAGTCCTTGCTTGGCGACGTAGACGCCGACGTAGCTGCCGCCACTTTTGTCCTCCCGTGCGCGCAGACCACGCAGCAAATTCAGGCAAATGATCATAGACTCAGACCAACCCAACGGGCCAAATATCACCCTTGCGAGCTTACGCGCCGCGCAAACTGACACCATCTTCGAGGCCATCATGGCCACCAATCGCAAGTGTACCGTTTTGGCCCTCGCGATAGAAGGCTCCAACACACCGGGGGGGCCCGACCCTGCTGAACTGGGGAGCCCGATCTGCCGCTCGTCTCTCACGCATCGCCCCAGTTGGACGGCCTCTAGCCACTGGAAGGATGCCCCACCCATATTTTCAGCCACTGGCCAGCCAGGCTGAATTTGGAGGGACTCCGCTGAGAAGTGCCATCCCTCCCGGGCCCGTTGTACACTGGGGGCGGCATGGCCGCGACAGATCGAACGCTCTTCATGTCGTCGTTCCCGGGAGCGGAAATGAGAAGGTCTGCGCGCAAATTTCCCGCTGGGTCTATCACATTACCAGCGAAGATAGAAATTCGCTACAAGCCGCCTGGGCCACCTCCAGAATTTCGCTCCCAAAGGACGCCACATTGAAAAGGCAAGGACTTGAGGAACTTTACCACCACGTAGTACGATGCTACACCAATCGGCCTGAGGGGGACGAGCGAAACGCCGAGACCCAGTTAACCTCACTCCACACAGGGATCGACTGGGTTGCCAGTGAGTGCAGCTGGAAAGGCGCCGCCACATGAAGACGGCACGAAACCGGCGACATTGTGCACGTCCCCATGAATCCGCCTTCCATCCCCCTTGCGCACTCAGTCGTCTGTCAAGCAGCACGAACTGTGCACTACAGAGTGGGCGCATGCACAACTGGGCTACTACTCATCAGAACGCTGGAAAGGATCGCTGCCGCACTGCTTGGTAGACTCTTGCAGGAGGCCCCGCAGACATTGCCAGGCAGATCTTACCATAATGCGACTCCACCGCGGAGGCTTATCTTGACCGGGAGATGGGATGGCGGTCCTACGTTGAGCAGACTCACAGACCCTGAGCCTGGCTTCCATCTCAGATGGAACATTGCAGACGCTGGACGGCTAACGCGTGCACAATACGTCGACGCCATCGAACACATAACGGGGCAAGACACCGTCGAGCAGGTACAGTGCGTCTACGCATACCATCCTGACCTCAAGTGTTATCAGCAGATATCACAGGTGCTCATCCGCGCTGCTGCCAGCGACATCATGGCACGTGCCTTTAGTGGGAATGCCTATCTCAGGACCGAGAGCTCTGAATATCGCATCTCCCCTGCCACGGCAGCCAGGGGCGGAGCACGCAGGGCACCCCAGATGCCGCGAAACATACGAGAAAACCTGGACAGAGCAAGAAACAAGGAAACCAGCCAAACGCATCGTGCGGCTATCCACCCACAGGTTCTCGCCATTCAATCCATCGATCAACACGGAGTCCAAATCGGTCATGGGCAGCACCGGTACATGTGTAACGACCTCGTACAACACAGTAGCGAACACAACGACCGCAGTCGCAGCACGCGCGGTCAAGGTAGCCACACGTACACCACCTTTGTTGGCCCAGGCAACATACGGCTTTTGACGCGGCTGTGGCCACCTACCTGCTACCCCGAACCCACTACCGCCATGCAGCCCCCCCCAAGATCACCGAAGACTGGCTGTCGGAGAACAGTAGCTGCTTCCGGTCCTTTCTAGGCAACGGTCACAGTGAACCGTCGCCTCCTCGCGGGAGACATGACAGCGAGTCTGCGCGACGAGTGGAGCTCAGCCTCTGTCCAGGGGAACTCGCAGTTCTCGCCGTCGCAGCCGGCGGCAGCCTCATAGTCACCACAGCAGGTGAGCGCGCCGTGCTGCACTACACATTGCCCTCGTGGACCACTGTGGCCGTCCCTCCGGCAATGGAAAACCACTCGGCCAGCAACTCCAGTTTTCGCCCCCTCACCACCATTGAGGCCTGTCTGGCCATCGGCCCTGACTTCATCTCTGCATCCACCGAGACCCCACCCAACACGCCCACTCCTGTCCAGCTTGGATTCACCCTCCCACCGACCGCTCAGCACGTCCAAAGTGACAATCAACGTAACGACACCCAGCTTTCCCTTGAAAGAAGCACCGCGCGCCCAGTTGTCTATCCCTCGCTCGCTGCCCTGCTCTCCGACACCCGGCGACGATGCCGCCCCCCACCTATCCTTGTCTCTGCCCAGGGAGGCCGTCGCAGCGGCTAGGGCCCTTCTCAACCAATATAAGATTACGCTCCACGACCAACAAGTACATGACTTCGCTCAGAGGAAAGAAGAGCCGCCGCAGGAAACCGGATACAGAGATACTGCTGGGACGTTTTCACCATGCTCTGGCTCATTCAGCTGACGGGCCCCATGCGGCTCAAGAGAGACCATGTATACCAACTGCTTCAGGACCACGGAATCGCTGGCAACTTCTATCGGCAATCACCGTTCCAGCAATGGCCTGCGCCAGTTGGTGAGGTCGACCCGCAGTACACGTTCGATCTATTTCTTTACGTCCCTGGAGCGCGGGAAGATCTTGCACTGGTCACGTCCCGCCAGGTCGCGGCCGACGCAGAAGATGCTATTGCGGTCCTCAACAACAGAAATAGAAGCGCCGGAGCTGCCGACCGACGACGCCCCGACCCAGGGCGCGCACCCAGACGCAGGACTCAGGCAAGTGCCCCCTGCCAAGTCCCTGCGCCCACGACCCAACCCGCACCGCCGACTCAGTCAACCCCTGCCCTCGACGCGCAGCCCCGACCTTCGCAACGGCAACCTGTCACTCCCGCGCCGATGACTCAGTCAATCCCTACCCCCGCCGCGCAGCCCCGACCTTCCCAGCGGCAGCCTGTCACTCCCGCAGCTGCCTCCAGAGTGAGCGCCCCGACCTCTCCAAGAGACCATGCCATGACGGACATCCTCCCCCCCGACGTTTCCCCCGCCACCCCTGCCACTCCCGCTGAAGCCCATCCACTACAAGGCGACCCACCCCCCTCCTCGCTTAACAACGGCGCGCAAACCACCCCGCAACCCCCGGCTGCTTCTCCCGCCCACTCTCCAGCAGCCGAGGCCCCCCCGAACGGGAGTAACCCTGCCACCTCTGACCAGGTTCATTGCCCGGCGCCCAGCTCCCAGGCCACGGGCTCCTCAGCGCACGCGACACAGGGTACTGATCGAAGAAACAGATTGTCGCCACCCCCTGGCACAGGCGAGATTGATCCAGAGAAAAACCCACTCGGCAGGGCCAGCGGAGTTCCAGAATAACTGAACCTCCACTACACCATCAACACCAAGTGGAACGCACTTCTCAAGAACACGAAGCGTTACCTCGGCCAGTTGACAGAGGAGGTGAAGACTCCAAAGTTCAAGGACAGAGTTGAGAACATCAACAACTCCTCAAAGGACTGGCAGACTGTCATGTCGCTCCTCATCTGGGGAGCCACGATCGGCCAACTCCGCGCACCAACCAAGAGGCTTTTCGAGCAGTTTCGGCTGAGTGAGGAAAAATATCGTTTGCTTGTTTGCTATTAGAACGAAGCTCGCCGACTTGGACGGGGCGCAGGGGGCGACCCGCATTATCACAACTCCAAGCCGAACTTGGCGACCGACAGCGCCTGTAGCATCCTTCGGAACAACCCTTGCGACCCCACTTCACCGGACGAGCCTTGCTCACTACTGCCCTGGACGACCATGCAGGGGATTGTCAGCCAAACTGCTTTCAACACCGGGACACCACGCATCGAGCATAGCGATTTTACCACACCCTTCTACGCGCAACAAGTCCTACAGTTGGACGACGAGAACATCCCAACCGACAGGCCGCCACAACCAGCCCCCACCCCGTCCGCTAACGGCGCTGTTGCGACGATCATACCGAACATTATCAACCCCACCAGTCATGACGCAACCCAACCAGAGACGCTGGTCACAGTCACGGGCCCGCAACCTAAAAGAGGCGCGCAGCCGCCAAGCCCTCGTCAGCCACGCGCAAGACGGGCGGCAAATCGGATCCCATCACCCGCGCCAAAGGCACCAGCGCGAACAACCCGGGCCCCAAGGGTGGCTCGCGCTAAATCAGCTGCCACACCGACTGAGGCGGATAGGCGCGGGACGAGACGTCTTGCTTCAGTTTTGGCACAAACTGTGCTGTCTCCACTGGCCGAAAGAGCGGCGCGACCAGCCAGCAGAGCGGCGTCAGCAAATGCACGTTCGGTGCGACAACGGCCCGCCAACGAGGTCGTCGAAGAATTCAGCTCTCCCCCGAATCCAAGCGATCTGCTCCAGTGCGCCTGGTCGAGACACGCCAACCCAACCACTGGAAGAGCACCAGCGACACCCGAGGACCCGATACTTGCCGCTTCCCCACAGGCAGGCTTGAATTCACAGATGGTCATAGACGCCATCCATGGCCTCGCCAGACAAGGGGTCATTGTAGCACGCGGCATCGGGGTACACGACGGCCGAGTGACTGGTCAGGTAACGCCGGCAGCGCAAGCTTCCACGAGCGCCTTCCAACGACGACCTGACCCAACCATTCTCCACGATGGCCAGAACACAGGCGACCTCAGCGCTTTACTAACCAATCAAGGAGGGCGACAGGGTCGCCCGCTGCATTTGGTCTCTTTGTTTGACGGGTGGGGGACAGCCAAGTACGCAGTGGGGGACCTACTACATCGAATGGGACGCGCTGATCTCTCCGCACCTCCAACCTCGTAGAACGCGACACCAGCATGGCACAAAGGGTCACAACACTGGGAACGCCCTGAGACACGGGCACGGGACGGCGGACCGCCGCACCGAATCCTCGCCTCGGACGTGTGGGACCTCTTCAGGATGACGCCGGGTGCTGCGATGACGGTGCGGGAACATGTCGTCTCCACCCTGGAGCCCAACGCCTTCCTCCTGATCGTTGGGGGCAGCCCATGCAACAATCTGTCATGCGCAGGGTCTCGACGCGGCCAGGACGGCCTTGCAGGGGACAAGCCGGTCTACTTTTTCGCAATTCCCCTGGCGTGGTCCCTCGCCACATGCTACCGCGACGACATCACTATACACGTGGTCGTTGAAAACGCGGGCTCCATGCGCAAACCGCACCGGGAAGACATACAGAGAGCCATGGGCGAGGTCCCAGATGACTGGGTGGTCAGAATCGACGCGGGAAAATGGGTGGTCAGCCCGCGAGACAGGCTATGGTTTGGCTCCTTCCCTAGGTCCGACCTCGACCTTCACTTCCCAAGGCTTCCCTCCACCTGGGACAACGAATGGGCCTTCCACTTTGAAGGTGCAGTGCCGACATGGAGCAGGTCTCGTGGGGGCCCCAGCGAGGTGCTACCAAGTTGCTTCCAGTTGCATCCCAAGCATCTGCTCTATCACTCCAACTGCAGCCAACCATGGCTTTGCATCCGACTCATCGAAGTGAGCAAATGGGCGCAACAAATCTTACGAGAGACCAATGCCAGCGCCACGCACAAAAGATGCGAAGAAGGCCTGAAACACGTTCTCAGTGGGAAGGAGAGAGATGGACAACAGGAAGAGGAACAAATAAGATCCTGGGGGCGATGGCTCGTGCAAGAGGCTTGGAAACACGGGCTCCGAGTACCAACTCCCGAAGAACGCGCACGAGCCACCGGGGTGCTGGACTGCTACCGCGCGATGGGGCTAGCCAACCGAGAACTGCACGACGCCGCTGGCAATCGCTTTGACCCCCGATCCCTCCAACAAAGGATTTTTTGGGCTCCTGCGGGACGTATGCCTTGCAGCATAGCCCGGAGTCTACGGAGATCACCGAACGCCGTGCGTACTCGACATTCAGGCTGGTTTTGACCGTGCTTTCGCGTTTGCCAAACAGCACTGCCGGTTCGATCGGCTTGCCAGATCACTTTTTCCGGATGATATACGACTTTTATTTGAGGCTGGGAAAATCATTCCACCTTTCTGCCCACCGACGGTAATCCCCCCCTAAACAACTTGGGCCCCCCCTCCCACTACGGGAGGCCGTGGGGTCCCCCGACGGGGCAGCACTTGTGCCGGCTGCCCGCAGTCGCGCTTGGAAAACTGCGGCACGATCTCTTTCTACTCGCCTCCTTGCTCACCATGCTGCCCCAGTGCGCTCGCCACGCGCCCTCTGGGCCGCGCTCCACAGCTCTCAGTGGCAGGACCCCACCTGGCGTGACCTCTACGCCGACGTCAGTCTCGACGACCTGCTCGCAGATCTACAGAGAGCCCGTGACACCGGGAAACCACGCCTTGCATGCTGGAGCGTTCGATACCTACGAAACACCACGGCACGCAAAAAACAAATTAAACATCATGCTGTCCTGACTCAAGTCACCACCAGGGAACGCGCCTGCCTTCTACAGGAGACCTCGCTGGTCTGAACACGAAAATGGCGTTTGGGCATGCCTCCTTCCAGCACGGACCCCTCTCTCCACGCCGGCGTTCAGGGGGCCAGGAGGCGGCCTCGCAGGAGGAACGGCCATCTTGATACCTCATGGAATGCCCCTGCTCGCCTCTGGCACACTTGTCCCAAGATGCGTTGTGTGGGCAGACGTCGATGCGCAAGGAACGCGCGCCAGGCTCATCCGTATTTTTCTACCACCTTCACTCAAGAGTGAAACCATACAAGGGGCCCGCGAGGCACTCTGAACGCTTGGCGATGTCCCAACTTTCTGGGGAGGAGACGTCAACCTGCAGTGCGAAGACCCACGCGAGGGAGAAGTTGAGGACGCGGCAAGCCTCTGTGACCTCCTTACCTACCTCCACCAACTCAAGCATCGCACACGCAGACGGGCACGCTCGCGCCGACCGCGACAGCGATTCCGCCATCGATTTAATGGCATGCCCCACAGCGTCACTGGCGGCCTATCAGACCAGGAAGGTGTGGAAGCCTTCCCTGTCGGACCATGCCATCATGCATCTCGATCCCGACGGCAGTCGCCCTGCCAGACGCGACCACACACTCACGCCCACAGAGTTCCGAGGGCCCCCCACCGAGGCCCGCGCCAAGCTACGTCGTTTGTACACCTACCTTGAGAAAACCTTTGCCGTTCCGGAGGTTGACCTCACTGGTTTGATACAACCCATCGACTGGGCGCGGCCTGCGGATGCGGGCTTACTACCAGACCAACACGGACACCCAGCCACATCTGCCTCAACAGTCACATAGAGATGATTTCACCCCGCCCTATTTGCCTGCTCTGGTTATGCTGGGTTGACTCATGCTCTCGTCGGGCCTGCAGCAATTGGGGAAGCAGTGGGCCAGGAAACGTAAACAGACCAGCCCAGGAGCACTGGTCGCTCTAGCGGCTCGCGACACTGGTACACTGCAACCTGTTGGCCCCCTGGCCGATTGGTTAGAGCGCTCCGGCTGGGGCGGAAGGGAGCTCACTCAGGCGCAAGCCAACCTGTGGCTCCGAAGATGGGACCTCGAGATGGCCCAGAAACGCGCCAGCGCCCTCACCACGTCTGAACGGGGACCAGGTGCCGAGCGACAGCCCCTCGCAGCCCATTTCAAGACGGGCAGATAATTTTTTCAGAAACTGCACGACGTTACCAGCATCCGGGACAATGACGGCAATTGGACCGAGAAGCACGCCGAAGTTGATCAAATCTTGATCTCTGACCGTCCCTTCTGGATGACAGCCCCGAACCTTCCCTGTGCCGACGATCTTCTCGCGCGCCAACCTCTAGATGGGGGCGGCTTGCTTCGATGGCACCAGCTCCTGCACGCAGCGCGCCAGGCGTGGACGGAGAGCCTTGAAGTTTACCATGCAGGCGCAAGATTCATTGCCTGCCTGATTGCACAAGCGTGGTACGTTGCTGACCAGAGTCCATACGACATTGCTGCCGTACTTGGTGCTTCGGTGGGCCCTCTTGCGTGGATGGGAAAGAAACCGGGCGCTGAGCTACCAATTGACATGCGACCACTGCAGTTACCTACCTGCCTTCGGCATCTCTTCGGAGCCACCGTAGCCGAACTGCTTGGACCCCAGATCGAGCCGCTGCTCTCCCAGGATCAGGCGGCCAAAAAGGCGAACAATGCGGGCCGAACATCAGAACAGCCGCAGAGCATCTCGGCCGAGACCCACACCCGGCGCCCCCGCCACACGACACTTGGGAAAGAATGCTCGGCAGACACTACACGGCAACAGAGGGGTACAGAACACGCCCGCACCGAGCACAGCAGTCATTTTCTGCGACCAAAACAAAGCCTTCGAGCGCCTCTCCATGCAATGGATTGGTAAGTTGCTCCAACGCTGGGGCTGCCCCGCATGGATACGCCACGCGCTCACTGCCCTGTTTGCCGACCGTAGCGTGCAAATCAACAAAGGGAAATATTGCGGCCCCAAATGCAAGCTGATGCGCTCAGTAGGCATGGGAGAGACTGCGTCTCCTCTCTTATGGTGCATTGGCTACGACCCCATCATCACAGCCATCTCCGCTGTCACCAGAGACAGCTTCCCCACCTTCGTGGACGACATCGGCTCCCTTCTCCAGGATGCGACACATACACTCAGGGCTACGATAGCTCTTACATGGGCCTCGAGAGCTGCTGGGCTACTTGTCAACTGTCACACATGCTGCGGGGTTGAAGTGCAAGGGAATACAAGCGTACTGAGGCAGCTCCTTGACGGCACGCCTGTAGATCTGTAGCACACACCGGGCGGCTCACCCAACTGCACACGGATCACCGGGCTCCCGGTCGGACTATTCTGTCGGATCATCACAACCAGCCTGGGAGACACACACACGCACGCGCTCCCCCTGGCAGACTGCATGCCGATGCAAGTTCAAGACTGCCGTAGTACCCGCTGGCCACCACTCCTGGTGGAAACAAGTGCTCGACCACTCCCCGTTTGGCAGCAGCTGCGCGCGGCCAACGTGGCCATATCTTGGCGCATGCATCGCCTCGAGGAGTCTGGAAGGACCCATGCCACACCACGGTCGTTTCACACTGCAGCTAGCCGCAGCGCTCATCCAAGGCACATGGCAAAAAGCTCTCTCCAAAATCCGCACTCGCAGCACCGCCCTCAACCTCGCAAACCTCTCTCCCACGCGCACTGCTGCTGCTTGG